CGCCACCGGCACCACAACAAACAACAACAGCAGCACAGCAGCAACAACAACAACAACAAGAACAGCAACAGCAACAGCAACAACAACAACAACAACAACAACAACAACAACCAACAACAACAACAACAACAACAACAACAACAACAACAACAACAACAACAACAACAACAACAACAACAACAACAACAACAACAACAACAACGACAATACCAACAGCAGCAGCAGCAGCAGCAGCAGCAGCAGCAGCAGAAGCAGCAGCAGCAGCAGCAGCAGCAGCAGCAGCAGCAGCAGCAGCAGCAGCAGCAGCAGCAGCAGCAGCAGCAGCACCAACAGCAACAACAACAACAACAACAACAACAGCAACAACAACAACAACAACAACAACAGCAACAACAACAACAACAACAACAACAACAACAACAACAACAACAACAACAACAACAACAACAAGAACAAATACAAATGATGGAATGATGTGGATCTTGCCGCATGTCTCCAGTGATTCAGTTTCCTACGTTGCCGTGCTTTGGGCTTGAGTATTGGTGTTCTTGAGTGGTGCCCGAATTGTGCCCTCAATCGCTGTAGAACGCTGCGCTTTGTGTCTTGCACTTCTGAGCCCTCTGCTGCACGTCCCACAAGTGGCAGGCAGCCGTGCCCAGCATGTCGCAATCTGTTCGCACAGATGGCTGCCCCCTCGTGGACAGCAGCGCCCAAGTCATCCAGATTCAAATTGCTCCAGGTTCCCGTGTAGGGGCCATCACGTGCCAGTGTGGTCCCAGCATTACTTTCCTGGGGCCTTCTTCTTCATGCCTCACGCCAGGGTCGCAGACAAACACCGGACTACATGAAGGCCATGATCCTCGTGATCCCCCGCGTCCTCCTCCTCCAGCTGCGGCGGCGGCAAGTGGCGGCAGCAGTGGAGATGATCTCGCGCCGCAGCAGCGCAGGCGCAAGAACAAGAACCACAAGAAGAAGAGAAGCCGTAAGGACAAGAAGCACAAGAAGAGCAAGGACAAGAAGGGAAAGAAGACCAAGAGAGACAAGAAGACCAAGGGTCGCAGCGCGACATCTAGTTCCGACTTCAATGAGATTGAGGGCTCCGTGGTAAACCCCGCCACGGCGCGGGGGACGAAGCGCAAGAACATCGGCGAGGGCCACGACGCCAGTGAAGCCGGCGGTGGGTCGAGTAGTGGTGCTGGCCTCCTGATGATCACAGACGGCACAGTCGACGGCGGAAGACGAGTGCTTGGGCGACTAGATGATCACCAAAGCGGGGACAGTTCGCCAAGAGAAGTCTTCTTGACCCCACAGTCCTCCGAGGATGAATGCCCAGAGGATGACACGCGTGACGAGGCTGACAGTGACACGGTAGAGTACGAGCATGATCGTGCGCACGGCGCCTTGGTGGCGCTGGTGGTGTCCCATTTCGGGCCTGCTGCATCCTCATCGGCATCGCATGTCACTCCGTCGCATCCTGATGCAGGGGCTGCCTCTCCCGCGCCCTCGCCTGAGTCAAGCTCCGTGCGGGGCCTTCGCCGCCTGCACGCCCGATTTAACCTTTCCCTGCGCGCAGAAAGCGCAGCAGGGTCAAGCATGGACTTAGATGAGTCTGATGAGTAGTTGAGAAACAATCGCACGGAGTTTCCGTGATTAGCAAGCTCTCTTTGGCCTATAGCTCACGCACCAGTCGTTCATCATAGCTTTGAGGCTCTCTCCAGCAGCCCTTGCGGTTTCAGAGCTGCGTGGAATGATTCACGGATAGGAAGCTTTGGGCTGTGAACGTTATAACCGCATCTTGCACTAGCTTTACTAGACCATGGCAAGTTGTTTCTCAGTCCAGTGACCATCCATGATCTGTTTCCTCGAGAGCCACTGCCGTAACGGCACCGATTTGTGTGTTGCGGCGGGGGGGGGGTTTGCAGACACAAGTCCGCAACTCTTCTTAGGGCGACGGTGGATCCGATGCATATGCCTGCGAGAGATGAGAGCGTGCGCCAGTAGAAAACTTCCCTGTAGCACCCAGCATGACGAGATCTTTCTGTGCATGTGGCCGCCTGCGGTTGTTGCCTGAATCCTGGAATCGTGCACTGTTGCAATGATGCGTGCCCGGCCGCGGCTGTGTCTGCCTGACATTGTGCCGGCACATCCCTGTCGTAGTCATGCACGTACCGTGCGATAGTTAAACACTTGCTGCGTTGATCGACAGCCCCCCAGCATGCAACCATAAACCCTAAATGGGGGTTTAGGGTTTAGGGGGGAGGAACCCCAATATAATCAACGGTTAGGGTTTGGGCCGTTTGGGGTTTGGGTTTACGTTTTGGGGTTTATAGGGTCTAGGGTTGTTTTTTTTTGTTTGCGTGAACCTCCTGTTGCTCCAGCTGTATCGCATGGGGGCATCGGAGAGATTACTGTTTGAATTACTTTGCTTGGCTTGCTGTGACTACTGTAATATTGGGTCCTGGTGCTCGAGTTTTCCTAGTGTAACTATTGAAACATCTCGTAAGTATTCAGACATCTATGAAGTCCTATTAAATTTTACCGTGCCACTCCGGCGGCAAGACTTCCCGGCTTGTGCCACGTGCGTTGGTTTGAAGCAAAATGCGAAGCGCAGAAGCAACGTTTGTGTTATTTTACAACACTCAAAGTGAAGCTGCTGTTAGAACAACCAACGAAAAATTATTCTGCGGCTGCTGCTGCTTATCAGCTAAACTTCTTCTCCTCGACAAGACGATATAAGCGACAACAAAATTCTTTTCCCGCTAAGACACCCAAAGATGATCTCAGAAAGCTTGCTGAACGGTGAACGCGGTTCGCAACCGTATCGATTGGCTTGCTCTGTGGTCTGTAGTATGAAAAAAAGCCACACGACCTTACAAACAAATCGCTTAAAGCAAACAAAGTGTTGTAGAAACTCACAACCAAGAACTTAAACATGTTCCAATATATTTACAAATTAAACATACAAACGCCTTGAAAAGGATGAAAAAAACCAAAAAAAACAAAAAACATATTTAAAAAAACACATTAAGAAAACAAAAAAAAAACTTTAAAAAACCAAGAAAACAGAAAAATATTTAAAAAAAAAAAACAAAAAAATCTAAAAAAAAACAAAAAAAACCAAAAGAAAACAAAAAAAAAACCCAAAAAAAAAAACACACACACACCCGGATCCAGCCCGGATCCGGGACCCATCTCCCGGATCCAGGCCGGATCCGGGACCCGGCTCCCGGATCCGGGCCGGATCCGGGACCCAGCTCCCGGATCCGGGCTGGATCGGGACCCGGCTCCCGGATCGGGCTGGATCCGGGAGCCGGGTCCCGGATCCGGCCTGGATCCGGGAGCCGGGTCCCGGATCCGGCCCGGATCCGGGAGCCGGGTCCCGGATCCGGTTTTGCTCGGTTCGCGTTTTTTTTTGGTTTTTTTCTTTGTTTTTCTTTTTTTTTCTCAAAAAATATGTTTTTTTTTGAATTTTATCAATTTTTTTTATCCCGGATCCGGTTTTGCTCGGTTCGCGTTTTTTTTTGGTTTTTTTCTTTGTTTTTCTTTTTTTTTCTCAAAAAATATGTTTTTTTTTGAATTTTATCAATTTTTTTTATTTTTAAGATATAAACTTGTTTGATTTTTTTCTCCGTCGGTGATGTTTTTGGTGAGTATTTGAACAAGGAATTCATTTTTTTTACATATCAGAAAGCACACCAGCATTCCGAACCACCAGTCACACAAACGAAACCTTTTTTTTCTATCATCAGCGTTAAGAAATTTACGGCTGCCGGTGCATCGAATTCTGTGAGTTTTAAGACTCACATGATTCATGATATCGTTGCTCTGAAGAAAACAACCCCATGTTTTGTCTATGGTATCTGTTTTACTGTTGCCACGTAGTCACGTAGCCGGATTTCAGTGCGACGATGTGAGCGGATGCTGCATCTCACGAGGGCATGGCGTGTCTCTGCAGCTTCGCTGCTGCTCTGTATCAGCGTCGGCAGTTCTCTGGCATTCATGTGTTTTTTCAATACAGCCTGGCCACGTTACAGATGGTCAAGTTTCTAGATATGATAATGTTCAGACGTGTATCATATAGACGTACTTTGTAAAATTAAATATAAATATTAATATAAATATAAATATAAATATAAATGTATATATATATATATGATTGTAGAGAGTAAGCTGAATAGTGTAGTTCTTGGTACAAGTAGTAGCTAGAGCTAGAGTTTGTTCCAGTGACTCGCTCGTGATGGGGGAAGGAGCGAGGAAAGCCGTGGTTTTCAATGCCAGAGATATAGATCGGTTCTTGGAGCGGGACTCTCGCCTTTTACTGGCGTGTACCTACTTGCGCCAGATGACAGAGGGAGAGCGTGTGTTTCTGTGTTCCATGTGGAGGACGTGGAACGGCGTCAACCTGTTGAGGGTTCATGCTGAGATGAGCTTTGCTGGCAACCGTTTCTTGCCAGAAACAACAATACTAAACACCACAGACTGGCACGGCCTGTCACTTGCGGAGTACGAGCGTGTTCGTCTCAGCTGGCCTCCCAAGTTTCAGAACCGAGATGGCGCAGTGGCCTGGCAGTTTGAGGAAATAGAGCCTCGCGACTTCGAAACATGGGCGCCGCTGTTGCAGGAGGAGCAGGACACGAGCCAGTGACAGAGCGAGAACTTGGGCCTCAGGCCTGAGAGGCATAATTTTGCAAAGAAACAAAAAAAAAGAGAAGAGAGAGAAGAGAGAGAAGAGAGAGAATAGAGAGAGAAGAGAGAGAAGAGAGAGAGAAGAGAGAGAGAGAAGAGAGAGAGAAGAGAGAGAGAAGAGAGAGAGAAGAGAGAGAGAAGAGAGAGAGAGAAGAGAGAGAGAAGAGAGAGAGAAGAGAGAGAGAAGAGAGAGAGAAGAGAGAGCGAAGAGAGAAAGAAGAGAGAGAGAAGAGAGAGAGAGAAGAGAGAGCGAAGAGAGAGCGAAGAGAGAAAGAAGAGAGACAGAAGAGAGAGAGAAGAGAGAGAGAGAAGAGAGAGAGAGAGAGAAGAGAGAGAGAGAGAAGAGAGGGAGACAGAGAAGGACAGAGAGAGAGAGAGAGAGAGAGAGAAAGAGCAAGAGAGATACAGAAAGAACAAGAGATGCAGGGACAAAGAGTCAGCGATTGCTTGATGCATTTGCGGAACAGGACCAGCTGAAGACGAGGCACTTTGTGCGTGTCAGCGAGGTTTCGTTGTCTGGTGATTGGCGAGTCCTTTGCAGCGGAACAACTTCAGCGGACGATACTTTGCAGCTGCAGAAGAGCGGCTACCCCGCAACATCCTCGTGCACGCCATGGATGCACGAGCTTACAGCTTCGGGTACACCGCCGCGTACACCAGTTCCTCAAAGGCATGCGAATCCGGATTTGGCTTTGGACTGTTTTGACGGCCGCAAGCCGGAGCAGGTCAAGGTTGAGCAGGTGAAGGTCGAGGTTGAGGAGACGCCGGGAGACGCCGTGGATGTGGATGTGCCGACAGCTCCAGAGCATGGGCATGCTCAGGCACGCGAGGCCGCCGCCGAGACTGTGGCCAGCAAACCTGCAGAGTCTCCCACGCTTGCCCACGGTGCTGCTGAGGCTGAGGCTCCAGCAGAGGCTGCAGAGGCTGCAGAGACGCTGCTGGACAGGACGAGCGACGATCTCCATATGCAGGCCCTGCTTGAGTCTCACCAAGCGCACGGACAGGAAGTTGACGACACAATGCCCCGCCCATGCTCTCCGACTTCCGTGCAGAATCCTCGGGGCAGGATCCGGCAGCACCCTTCTCCCAACACTTCCAAAACGCCAGAGCTTGCAGGTAAGCAAGAGCCGCCTGCAGGGCTGCCTGTGGCATCCTCGTTGGAGGAGGGTCTGGCCTTCACAGACTTTTACTTGGACCGTTTGGCGAAAATCCCCGCCGATGAGCTTCCAGATGAATTTGAGAGTGGTTTAGAATTGCTGGCGGCCAGAATGGACGACGATTTCGGCTCTGACTCAACGAGCTTTTCTGGCGTCGAGGCTCCTCACACCAGCAGGCGGTTGCTGCATTATCGCCTGGAGCAGCGGCTCCAGCGCAAGATTCGGCCTCCTTCCTTGTCGTATGCTGTGGAGTGGAACAGTCACTGCCAGAAGGAGTTGTTGCACCTCATGGACATGGAACAGCAGGGTGGCTCCAGTGATTCCTGCTTGTTCTCAGACATATGCGACTTCTTCCGGGATGAGCTCCTGACACCAGGAGGCCTAATCTCTCAATTGAAGCAGCGGCCGTCCATAGCCGTTGAAACACTCGCGCCTCTGCTAGCACAAGGGGCGCTAGTCAAGAGGCGCGCCTTCTGTTTGCGGCATCGGATACTTGGCAGCACTAGGCTCAAGGTGACCCGTGACCCGATGTGGTTTTGTGTGTAGTCACCCCATGTCAGAATCACGTCCGAGCTGGCTGTGTGAAGTCTGTCAGAACTAGGTCCCCTAGGTGGTGCAGCGACTCTCCACTCCAGGTTCACGTGTTTCGCGGTCACGCAACGGGGTTTTGTGAACTTATGGTAAGTATCGTGTCAGTAGCATGAGACAGTGTAGCACAGTAAAAGAACTACTGAGTAGTGTAGTCACACGGTAGTATATGAGTACATTAGTGTACTGGTCTGGTACGGTAGTGTGGTATTTAACAATGTCAAACAGAGGTATAGTGTGTCGCTGCGTCGCTATGTAAAAAGGTAAAAAGGGGGATACAGGTGTGGCAAGTGCCAAGTCAGAACGCAAACATAGAAGACCTGCGTGCGTAACTTGCTGAGGAGAGAATGCATCGTGAAGCCATCCTGGCGCCACACGGCCGGCACTTGTTGCACAGGACATTCTGCGCAGGGAAAACGATTGAGGCTAGCCGACATCACGGTACTTTACCAGATGGCTTGGATGGCAATGAGGCAGGACCTGCAAGAGGCGGAGGTCGTGCAAGAGAATGTGGACTCATTCCCTGTGGGTGAGATGCTGGGCAGATTTCTGGGATCTGCGTACTTCATCGACGTGGAGATTTTAGACCCTTTGTTCTACGGCCTCCCGGTCAGCCGGCGCCGGCTGTACGTGAAGTTGACACTCGATTGCAATGGCTGCGAACAGCCTTCCCACCCTACTACTGCTCCTACTACTACCACCAGTAGTTAACTACTACTCCTCCTCCTCCTCCTTCTCCTTCTCCTTCTCCTCCTCCTCCTGCTGCTGCTGCTGCTTACGACTACTCCTCCTACTACTTCTGCTTCTGCCTTTCCTTCTACTTATACTTCTACTTTTTCTACTACTACTACTACTACTACTACTACTATAATACTACTAGTACTACTACGACTACGACTACGACTACTCCTACCTACTACTTCTACTACACTACTACTACTCCTACTATACGACTACTACGACTACTACTACTTACTACTACACACTACTACTACTACTACTACTACTACTACTACTACTACTAATACTACTACACTACTACCTACTACTACTACGACGACTACCGACTACGACGACGACGACGACGACGACTATACTACTACTACTACTACTACTACTACTGCTCTGCTTTACTACTACTACTACTTACTACTACTACTACTACTTACTTACTGCTACTATAATACTACTATATACTACTACATAACTACTTACTACTACTACTACTACTACTACTTACTACTACTACTACTACTACTACTACTACTACTACTACTAATACTACTCACGACTACGACTACTCTACTACTACTTACTACTATACTATACTACTACTACTACTACAACTACTACTACTACTACTACTACACACTGCTACTACTACTACGACGACTACTACTACTACTACTACTACTACTACTACTACTACTACGACTACGACTACGACTACTACTACTACTACTACTACTACTACTACTACTACTACTACTACTACGACTACTACTACTACTACTACTACTACGACTACGACTACTACTAATACTACTATTATTACTACTACTATTATTAATACTATTAGTACTACTGTTACTGCTTCTGCTACTGCTACTACTGCTGCTGCTGCTACTACTACTACTACTACTGCTACTACTAGGAAGGTACTAGCAGTAAGATCCAAAACTCAGGCGACATCGCCAGAAAATCCTGGCTCAGATTTCACCTTTGGCAACGTTTTGCAAGGCCTTCCAGCGAGCCATCAACTATTCATGGCAGGAGTTCTATTGGGTACATCGTTTCAAGAGCTTTTCTGGAGTGCTTGAGGATGAGTTGAATGCTGAACTGGAGTGGGCTCAGCAACGCAAGGGCAGCATGGCGTGCGGCAAACGTCAGCTGCGAGCATGTGACCCTCTTCAAGATCCAGATTGGGTGGATCTTTGCGAGAAGTTAGACGCAGGGGGGCCTTTCTACAAGGCCCTGACGCAAACAGAACTCGATAATGCTCTGGAATACGCGTGGAGAAGTCCACACCAGGCATGGCAACTTAACCAAAGTGCCTGCGAGCATTCCCAGTGCTCCAACCCCCAATATCTTCACACACTCATCCGCAATTGCAGCTTGATCTTCACGGAGCACGCAGACGTTTGCCCCCCTCGATGGATGTCTCCTACCGAAATGTTCCTCGGCGACTTTTAGGCAGGTTTTACATTTGGCTTTCCAAGCATCCATCGACCAGCAAAGCTATAAGCCCCCGCAGTATGCTCACGACATTTACCACTCGCCTGACATATAATCTGAAATATGTGTATGCTGAGAAATTTGACCCCACAGTGCTCGCAACCATCATCTTACATATGCGGACAAGTCCAGTTTAACATAGTTGTGAACGGCGTCTCAGAGCATACGTCGCCATGTGACTCTGAGGCTTTGCGTGCAGGGCTTTCCTTTGCATCCGTGCCTGAAGCTGTCAGCCGCAAAGGTATGCTCCTTTCAGGAGCTGCAGCAGGAAGCTCGGCATCCGCGGAGGGTTGGGGAACAAGCGGGGAACAGCATGAATCTGGCTGTGTTGCAGTTGACCCAGCTGCATGGATACATGAGCCTGGTTCCAAGACGTCTGCCCACGTTGTGCACGATGTGGCTCCATTTCAAACGCCAGACCGAGGAAGAACGCAGGCACAAGAGACGCCGAATTGTGTGTAAGACACCAGCCAAGTACGCACTGTGGGCCACCAGGTCAGATGGCAATCAGCGCTGAGTAATGTCGCGTCGTGTCGTGTCGTGTGAGTGCGGCTGGCTGTACGAGTGAGTGGCGGGGTTCCTACGCTGCACGTGTCGTGTTGTAGCCTCTGCGCGCTTCTTGCTTAACTTGAAAGTTCTGACGAAAGCAGCTAAGTTGTCACTAGTTAGTATCTGGTTTCAAGCAAAGAAAAGTTTCGTGACGCTCGAACGCGCGAAGGCCGGAGGCTTCCAAACATGTTGACGTTATGCCTGCCCTGTGCATGCATTTCCGCATTGTCTTGGTTTTCGGGTAGAGATTTGTTTTCGGGTCACGATCGACTTGGTTCTGTCGACGATTGCACTCAGGCCCCCAGAGCGCCCCAAAGCCCACGGTTCTTAACGCCCAAAACCTGAGTCCCACCACCTGATCCCAAAACCTACGCCGCTCAAGCTGAACCATACTCGATCGTAGACCTGGGTAGACAGAGTTTCGTGAAACCTTTTCTGGGGCAAAGCCACAACGTGCGATCCTTGTGCCTCGCGAATGAATCCAGAACCTTACCCTGTACCCGCGCCCCTGACAACCAAGCCTCGAAGTTCCCTCCGTCCCACATAATGCTGCAGGATGCACGTAAGGAGTGGCGTGTTTCGGCCCGTGGCTAACGCTGCTGCCAATGTGCTCAGAACTACTGTTTCCTTCTTGGGCACTTCTCTGATAGGTTGTGCCACGGTTGTGCTTTGGAGTGCGGTCCATGGATTGACTACAGCGCAGGCTGTGCAGGTAGTACCCAGGGTGCAGATGTTCACGCAGCGTGGGCTCGGGCCCGGGCTCGGGGCAAACAAGACCAGGAATGTGACGCATTCCTTTTGACAAGGAGAACAGTTGGAGTGACGTGCTGCAGCAACTTCGTAGTGCATACGGCTTCTGAGTTCAGGCTTAGGACAAATTACGTGGCCACCGTGGCCACTCCTTGTCATTAGCATGGGCCACGGCTCTAATTTGATCGGGAGGCACATGGCTGCACAGTGCTGCTTGCGCGCAGAAGTAACTGAGTTTCAGAGATGCTGCTTGCTGTGCAGCCTCGCGCGTGCTGCACCTTCATGACCTTGACTGGCTCCGCTCACAGTGTGTGCAAGTACTTGCGTTACCTACGCAACCCGAAAGTCACAGGTGGGCAAGTGTGTCAGAGCCGTGCCGGGGTGTTCACGATCTTTCAAGTGCTGCTCATTAGAAGAGTCAGGACGCGGCAGAGGATGGCAGAGGTGCAAAAGACTTGGCTTGAAAGCGTGCGCTTGACCATGTTGACGCATGACTCTTTTGCTGGCTAGCGCGTGGTAGTACACGAGCACGAGTATGAGTAGGACTATGTGGCTATGAACTATGCACGCGGCATGCGATCAACGCAGTCTGGCATTGCCGCGTAGCGTAGCGCGCGGTTTTGCACATGTCACATGTCATTCATTTTGGTTGTGTGCCCTGTGCTGCTGAAATGCAGAACATGCAATACCATGCGTTAAGTCACGGGTTCTGCATCCGCAGATCGCATGGCTCCGTGTCACTGTGTGACCGCACCGCGTGATTTACTCTAGCTTTGTACAGTGCATTCTTTCTGTGTGGGGTTCCAGGCCTGGCCATTCGGAGAGCTCCTGAATTCTTGGGGGCTAAAGTGACAGGTGAGACTGAGATGTCTACGTCCAAGGCGCGGAAGTCGCTGGCATCGGTAAAGGCTAGTGGGGCAGGCAAGAGCTCGGCTGCTAAGGCCCGGCCAGCTCCGGGGCAGGCTGGTTCCGAACCTGCCATTGCCAGCAGCAGTGCCAGCGCCGCTGGTTTGTTGACTCCGTACCTGTCCAGCAACGGTGATTGGTCGTCCGTCCACCCGGAGGTGAAAAAAACAATCAGGGGTGGAGACTTCGCGAGCATGGAAGAACTCTTTGGAAGCACTCCAGGCGTCGGGCAGTTGATCGAATTGTCTCTCTCCTGGTTCGCTGATGACCATGGCGGCGTCGACATCGAGTGGTACGTGGACGCGGACCCGATAACCAAGCGGGGCGTTCAGAGGAGCATCGCCCCGAGTCGGTTCAACCGGGCCCTACAGGAAACAACGTGTGAGGAGTACAAGCAGCGACTACTCCTTGAAGGGCAGCCTCAATCAGTTGCGGGCTACTTGCGACGCACAGAGTGTTAAGCCACAATAGAAATCATACCATGGGGAAGGTGAGGTGAGGTGAGAGTGATAGTAGATGAGGAATACCATGGGGAGGTTGAGGTATTTGGAGTGTGCACGAAGCTGGTTTTTTATTTGACTTTGGCCGTGCGGCGTTCGGTCGTTCGGTTTGCGCGGTAGCTTGTTGAGCTAGGTACTAAAACACTGTTCCCTTTGTACAGTAGCAGTAGCAGCCGCTGCAGCCGTAGTAAGGGGCCAGTGTCTGCAGGGCTCGTTTCTCGTGACGTTGAGACGACTGCGACGGTTGTGTGTCGATTGTTCTTTGTATATTGGTAGACTGCTGACCGCCGCGTCACAAGTCATGTGTCGCTTCAGGTGAGGCCTGGTGCCATTGGACTGGAGAGCAGAAGGAGTTCCCCATCATGGCCCTCAGCTATAACCACAGGACGAACGCCTTTTACAGAGCGGACGAGGAGCAGCCAGAAAACCCCAACGTGAGTGGAGTCCGCCTAAGGGGACTCAAACGAGTCCGAGTCTTGGCGTGGTGGACGCCCGAGGTGGTCTTCAAGTTCCTAGCAACAGCACACAATCGTTACCACCAGGGCAGTGGAGCGTCTGTGGTGGAACTATGCGAGACTGCTTTGAACCTCGAAGCGTCATGGCGACAGTCGTGCGAGCACACTGGCATGACGTACAGCAACCCGCGCTATCAGCAGTGTTACCAGGCCTGGGCAAAGAATGGTTGTCTCAGGTGTCGAGGTGTACGGTATAGGTTTTGGGTATCAGGGCTTAGGTAACGGTTGAGGGTGTCCTCTTCACAAAGGGTTTGGGTTTAGGGTCGCAAATTTTACTCGTGTCCGTGTCCATTGCAATCGCAATAGACAACCGGCTGTGTCTACGACTCACATTTCTGAGTTCCCTGGCTTCCTAGCCACATTGGCCCCGTGGTCCCAGGTTTCAGAAGCGAGTTGAAGAAACAGACGTGGCGTCACGGAGAGTGTGCTACCCTGAAACCTGGACCGTAACCCTATGAATACAGCATCTTCAATTTGAAGCCGTTTCGTGAAGCCCTAACCCTGGGACCCGAGCCCCACGCAGTTCCTAGACCTGACCCGGAGGCCCACGTGTTGACCGACAAGACGTTCTCAGATTGGAATCCCTACACACACGCTCTCTCTTTCGCCCATCGCCTGCAGGCTTCGCACTCGGGGCGTGGGAGGGATGGGGCGGAAGTGCGCTGATGCCCGAATGCTCGTTTGCCCTGCTCTTTGCTCTCGTTTGCAGGCTTTGGATGCATTCGAAGAATTCTGCTCGTGGCTTAATCGCCATATGCATTTCTTGAACGAGAAGCTCGACAAATGGCAATGTCTCACCGTGCTGCATGCTGCCACGAGCACCATCAACAACACTCTCAAAGCTTACCACGTCAAGGAGGACGTACGGCTCTTTCTCCTGGAGTTCTTGAAGTTCTGTGTTGCTTGACCGGAAACAGTAGTTTAGTAGCTAATGTAGCTAATGCTGCTGCAGTGCGTTGCGCAGTCCTTTCTCATGGATCACTTGTCTGTTGTTTCTAGACATCTTGAGACTTGCGTTTTTCCCTAGCCCTAATCCCTAACCCCTAAACCTTAAACCATCAGCCTTAAGCCCTAATCATCCCCAACGGCCCCAAACCCGGACCCTGCTCACCGTGCTACGAGGTGCCACTGCGCCCTGATCCTGCCGAGCGAAAGATCGAATGGCTTCTCAACAAATCCGGGAAGGAGCAAATGATGCGCATCAATCTCGTGGCTTTGCCCATGACTGGCTGCAAGGCCTTTCAGAAGATGGCCGCCGCTCGCCTTGTATGTTTCGGTGCAGCTCAGTAAGCACGTGTGGGAACTAGGGCTGAACTGGGGCGGGTTGACTTGACAGTCCAAGTATAACTGAAAGTTCCAAGTGCAAGTCGATGAGGTGAGGCTTTGTGAAAGACGGCTTTGCGAAGTGCTTTTTTTTTTAGAGTTGTGCATGTGTAGCAGTAGCATATATACTCACTAGAGTCTACTTGCGCGCAATTGGTTCTAGGTTGTGAAGTTGTGGCATGTGCTCAGGAAGCGTTGGAGACCAAGAATGTGCTCAAGAGCATCTTGTCCGACTCTGCCGAAGAAGCAAAAAACGTTGCTTTGGCTGTGGTGGCGTGTGATGCTTCCGCTGGTGGCAGTGGGCTGGCTGCCGTGCCTACTCTTGCTGCTGGTGCGCCAGCGTCAGGGTCGGCTGGAAACGATGAGGTAGAAGAGGATGCTCCCATGCCCGGTACACTCAAGCGCAAGTCCAGGCGCGCTCAGTCCCTGGACAGCGACGACAGCAAGAAGCTGAAGTCGGATGCCGGCAAGGGGAAAGGCTACAGCAAGGAAGAAGCCTTGTGCTTTAGTGCTCAGATCGCAGCCATCGGAAAGGACCAGGATGCTCAACGAATGAAGTGCTCTGCGGACGATGCCATTGCCAGCCTCAACTGGGTGATCGAAGCTGAGTTTACGGAGGCTGAGCGGAAGTCCTCTGAAGAGGCCATCATGAAAGCGAAGGGCTTGGCCTTCTCCTTGTTCTCTGAGTTCCTCTTGGCTGGCGAGGTCGTGGTCGGCGGAAAGAAGATCAAGATTTGGTCAGCCTTGCGACCAGAGTTGCAGGGTTTGGTGCGCATGGCAAAAGCAAAGCTGTCTGTGGAAGGTTGTGTCAAGGACCCAGTCACGTTGGCCCGCGAGATCACAGAGGAGTTGATCAATGCGCCGGTGCAAATGGTGGTGGAAGGAGAAGATGATGGCTTTTCCCGCATCTCGCAGTACCTGCAGAAGAAGCCTCAGGCAGTGGAGAAGATCCGCAAGATGGTGGAGGAGTCCTTGGATCTCCCACTGTACATGCACGACGTGGTCCCCGCATTGTTGAAGCTGTGCCTCAACAAAACCATGCAACTAGTGGACTACTTGGCTGCAGTGTTCACGGAAATTGATAGCAGACTGCCAGCGTCTATGATTGGCTTCGCTGCAGATGTTTGCAACTACTTCGCAGCTTCCCAAGGGTTTGCCAGCGGCTGCCAGCATGTGGGATGCTTAGACAGCCCACGTAGCTGTGTGTAAGTGTATGCAGCAGCTGTGAGTGCTATGAATTCCAATTGTCAATGCTGAATCCGGTGTGTCACTCCCAACAGCCATAGGCCATAGGCTAAATCCTGAGTCAATGGTCAATGCCGATGCCACTATCTCTAGTGCATGCTGTGCCACTGCACCGCTTGGCTATGGTCTAGGGTTTATAGTATAGGGTTTAGTGTCAGTGTTTGTTTAGAGTTTAGGGTTTACGGTTTAGGGTTTAGGGTTGCTGCTGCTGGTGGTGGTGCTGGGACTGGGGCTGGTGCTGAGTGCTGGGCGCTGGTGCTGCTGTGGTGGTGCTGCTGCTGCTGTGGTGCTGGTGGTGGGGGTGGTGGTGGTGCTGCTGCTGCTGCCGCCAATGTGCCACAAGAACTTTTACTGCTGCGCTGGGCCTCGAGATTTTGGAACCACGTTGTAGGGATACATACACACGGTCCTATAGTACATATAGAGATATTGCATATATATATATATATATATATGTATAGATATACATTATATATATATGTATATATATAGTACATATACATATACATATACATATAATGACATATATGTGATTTTGTGCTGTTTCGAGTCGAGGTCTTCAAGAACATCGACAGGCTGCAGAAGTTTTTGGGCTTGCGAGTTTCGTATGTTCTGCACGTTTTGGCCGAAGCGTGCAAGATCGGTTCTTTCAATCTCCTCTGCGGCAAAGATGGAGTGGCTGACCCCAAGGCAAAAGAATCCGTGGTGATGACGCTTCAACATCTCATGTCTGCCCACACCGCAAGCCAAGCCAAACACGAGGTTCCTGTCACGCAGGAAGGCGGAGCAAGTGGGCTGCTGGGACTGCAGCTGTTGTTCTTCGACTTGGCGCAGTCCACTCATTCGTGGACCAAGGCCTGGCATGACGTGTTGACAACTCCGGCAGCCCACGTGCAAGAGACCCTTTTCAAGCAGGTGCCTGCCCTCAAGAATGTTGACTTCGCACATGGCGCTGGCGACTCATCGCGGCCTTACTTGCCATGCTTGCCGTGCGCAGTCAGCGAGACATGTGAGGAGGATGTGTTGGATCAGGGTCAGGAGGGGACGGGCCAGGGGAATGGGAAAGGGAATCGGAAGTCCGATGACAAGGGTGACACCTCAAAGAGGCCTGTGCTGAGCATTGACTCCATCCACAAGTTCATGGACGGACCTGACGAAGTGGGCCTCCTGGATGAGTCCGTTGATGCTTTTGTGATGGGGCTGGAGAAGCTGGACACAGGGTTTTTGCAGTTGCTGCAAGCTCGTTTGCAGTTTGCTGTGTGGGCAGCTTATGGCAAGTTCCTACGCAGCAATCAAGCAGCACGATCCATGGAGGTGGACCTCAGCAAGAAAGGTTGCGATGCAGTCCTTGTGTCCAAGAAGGCAGCCACAGAGGAAGACTTCGCCATGATGTTCGCTGGCAATGTCTCCATCTATGCGCATGGCCAGCTTGGCAAGGACCATGTCCCATTGTGCACGCTCTTCGGCATCACATTCTACTGCAACGCGCCAAAAGACCTGGGTTCCAGCGATGTCATGGTGCCTGCGTGGGCGGCTAAGCCAGTGTCGCGCAACGACCTTGCCTATTTCCACGTTGAAAGCACCTCCTGCAAGTTCATCCTTTACTTCAGTGGCGGCGACGCAGGTGTGCACCTGCAGCCATCAGGGGAAGTGTCCGAGCGTTTTCGCCAGGCTATGTGCATTTGGTCTGCGCTGTCTTCTGTGTCTGACGAGGAGAAGAAAGCAAAGATTGCGGAGTACGAGCGGTTCCTGGGCGCGGGCGTGGAGGTGAGAGGTGAACGTTGAAAGCAAATACTTGCAGAAATGCCTTGAAGTTCATAAGACTGGGTGCCCAGAGGCCCAACGGACCACAATGTTCAAAGATATGTTTCTGTCAAAGTCTTAACGTTTCGAAATTGCTGCAGTTGGTAAGTTGGAAGTACGCTCAGGCTTGAGAAGCAAAGTGCACGCAGTGACAAAAAAAACAAACCCTGTAAAAACGTCCAGGAGGATGCGGAGATCCCTGACGGGCCTGACGGGAAGGAGTTTGTTCCCTGGTACGAGAGTGGCCGCAAGCGTCCAATCCCGGCAATCGAGTTCGATTTGAGGCTGGAGCAGTGGCTTTGCAGGTTTATTGTTGTTTGTTGTCGAGGGTTTAGGCTTAGGGGCTTAGGGTTTAGGTGTAGAGATTATATAGAGTTTGGGTCCCAGACTTACGGCTTTGGTTGCAGGCTTTCGGATCTCAGAGTTGAGGCGAGTTTAGGGTTGAGTGCGGGGTTTGAGGTTTTGTTTTTGTGTGTAGTGCAGACTTTAGGGTTGGGGCGGGTTGGAGGATAAAGATGCCGCGTTTCGGGCTTCTGTTCCGCCCAGCGGTTTGCTGGCTCCTGGACATCTATGGGTTTGTGTTGTTAAGTTGTGGAGCGGTCACAATGTCAGTTTTTCATTTCCTGATAGCCGCTAGCCTGACGAGCTCACTGCTGCAGTTCCAAAGTCTCCGGCTCATTTTCAATTTGTTTTCTGATTTGTATGGAGCCTTGCTGTTGCCTCTGCATTTGTCTTGGGCTTAACATTTTCGTACCGGCGCGGGTGTGTATTTCAAGAATTGATCCGGTTAGGTCAGGTATGCTGGGCATTGCCCCTGGTCGTCACCGATCTCTCAAAACAAAACTTGTCAGGCTTGTCAGGCCCTCACTTTCCGACGCAGGGAATTGTATGCGGATTACACTCATGTCACATGTTTTCAACACATGGTCGTGTTACATGCCAGGGCTCATCCGAAGCAAGATTGCACAACACGGCTTAGCAAAATGACCAAAGATATGCTGCTAACCCTCCCTCGTCCCTTGTGCTCTTATTTTGCGCTGCGCAGGACTGACTTTCTGAAGCCTCTTCCAGACGTGGCGGATCGAATTGCCAAATGGAAGGATGGCATTGTGACGAAGGCTACGAAAGCAGCTGAGAATTCACTGGTCAAGACCTTGAAGAAGAACCATGCAGCCATCAGCTCGACGGAATCCATCCAGCAGATGCAGGATGTCATGGCGACGGCCACATGCAAGGCCGAGGAGTACTTTGAGACCCTCTTTGTCCCTTTGCATCGGCTTGGCAATACATCTGAGATGGCGACAGCGCGTGGGAAGTTGATGCTCCAGGCTCTGCACCAGTCTCAGGGTGAAGCTTCCGAGGAACAGCAGGTGAAAGTTGGTTTTGCGGCTGCTCAGTTGGCGCAGCAGCGCGAGGGTTTGTTGAAGGTCAAGGTCAAGAAAGACAAGACGGCCTCAGCCAACAAGCAAAGCTTGTTGACGATTGGCAAACATCTTCTCAAGTAAAGCGTTGCCAGCTGTGGCGTACAGTCTACAGTGCGTGACTGTGCGTGGCTGTTGCTGCGCCAGTGTTGTGCAGCCCGTGCTGGTGTGAAGGTGAGTCTGCGTCGGGGCTGCGGGGGCTCTTAAGTCGAGTCAAGTGTCTGTTCCTCTGTTACTTAGATGGCTTAGCAGGTTGTCTGGTGATGAAGATTGCCTGGTTCGAGTTGAAGGGTTTCATCACGTGTCCTGCATTTTTGGGCCCGAGTTTAACTCTGCATCCTGAACCCCAAGCTTGCAGGGTTTTAACCTTACATCCTAAGCCCTAAGCCCCAAGCGTCGTGGCATATCCCTGCAATGTGGACCTACAGTCCCTTAGGGTACTTCGACCTACTTGCGATCTGTGAACAGGTGGACAGGTCATTTTCCAAACACAGCGGCCTGCAGATCTCACGTACTCATCAGTGGCTGCCAGCAGCTTTCTCTTTTCTAGTGTTCAACAGCTTAGTCTTAGACTGTGTGCTTCGCAGAAGGGCCAGCTGCTGTTCCCCTACTAGGCTTTAGGGTCTAGGGTTGAGGGTTCAGGGTTTAGGGTTTAGGGTTTAGGGTTTAGAGTTTAGGGTTCTGAGCAGCGGGGCTTCTGCAGAGGCAAGCAGGCCCCACGAATTTCTTTTGTTTGAGCCTCTTCAGAAGCAGCAAGTGCAAGCAGTGAGCGCAAAAGAGCAATGAGCGCAATGCATCTCGGCTAGAATGATTTGAGAGATCTGTTGAAGTAATTCAGACGATTCTCACCCGTCCAAACTCGTTTGCAAGGCCTCTAGCAGTCCTTCCTCTACATGCCGAACTTTGGCTTTTACTGCCCTGAATTCTGCATTGCCAGGTACAATGAGACCTTAGCTCCCGGATGGCCCCCCCTAGGCCCTTAGCTCCCGGATGGTCCCCCCCTACACGCGGGAACCTGCCCCAGCCTAAGACCGCACGTTACGAGGTTAGGGTCTAGTGTTTAGGGCTACAGTCGTTCTCGCCGGGGGAGCGTGCTCGGCAGTTTCATCTGGCAGGAGCCTGTGCCCCCAACACCGAACACCCGAGCATGGGAAGGTCGAGATAGTAAGCTGTAGCTACTCTGGGGGCCTAAATAATTTGAATGAGGATTTCGGTTTTTTTATAGTATAGACATATAGGGACCAGAAGGGAATACTGTTAGCAATTCTTCCGGCCCCCTTTATAACTTCTGTCCTATAGGCGTGCCTTCAGGTCGTGCACCAGATGCGGTGTCGGCGTGTCCTACGCAAAGCAACCAAGCATGTAGCCACCAACTGCCCTGAACTCCGACCCACTCTCTGGCCACTGTGTCCATGAGGCACGTATCAGTGCTGATAATGACAATCTTCAGTCCAACAGCTGACTCACTGCCTTTGCGCAATGCCGAGATCTTTGCCAGACTCTACGCATAGATAGTTGGACTCGTCGCACTTGGCTACGCAAGAGGCCCGTGAAGTGAAGTGAAGTGAACTCAGACCCGAAATGCCTTGAACCCTAAACGCTTTTTGAGTCAAGACCGTCGCGTTTTTAAGCCCTAGACCCTACGAGAGGGGTACCCTAAACCCTAAACCCTAAACCCTAAACCCTAAACCCAAAACCCAAAACCCAAAACCCAAAACCCTAAACCCTAAACCCTAAACCCTAAACCCTAAACCCTAAGCCCTAAACCCTAAACCCTAGACCCAAAACCCTAAACCCTAAACCCTAAACCCTAGACCCTAAACCCTAAACCCTAAACCCTAAACCTTAGACCCTAAACCCGAAACCCTAAACCCTAAACCCTAAACCCGAAGCCCTAAACCCTAAGCCCTAAACCCTCAACCCTAAACCCTACACCCTAAACCTTAAACCCAAAGACCCAAAGGCCCAAAGACCCGAAGACCCGAAGACCCGAAGACCCTAAATCCTACAGCCGAAGCCTCGGGCCAAGCGACCCAGGAGATCCTCTTGGCTGGGGACACGAACCGCACTTTGTCAGGGTATGTCAGGGTTTAGGGTTTGGGGTTTAGGGTTTGGGGTTTGGGGTTTTGGGGTTTAGGGTTTGGGTTTGGGGTTTAGGGTTTGGGGCGTGGGTTCGGGGTTTAGGCTCCTTATCCCCCCTCCAGGCCTTGTACGCTTCCACTATCCCCCCTCCAGGCCTTGTACGCTTCCACCTCTACGGCAGTTTCAAGAAATTGCGCCTATGCTGTTTCTGGTGTGTGAACACAGGAATTGCCCACCTCAAGCCGAAACCCTAAACCCTAAACCCTAAACCCGAAATCCTAAACCCTAAACCCCTTAAGCCCTTCAAGATAACACCCACAAGCCTAAGCAAAACAGGCAGGGCTTCGGGAGGGCCGAGGGCTCATGGGGCTCAAGGTTGCTTCTTACAACCCTAAACCCGAAACCCTAAACCCTAAAACACAGGGGCAGAGGCAGCCGCAATGTCGACAGATGTGCCGGGGAGTAGCGCCGCTGTTGAACATCGCTATTGCTCGAGCACAGCAGGCACTGAGTGGAGTGAACCGCCAGCGAGACAAGCGGCAACCTCCCTAAATCCTAAACCCTAAATCCTAAACCCTAAACCCTAAACCCTGAACCCTAAACCCTAAACCCTAAACCCTGCTGCTGGAGGTCTTCAAGGCAGGTCTCTGCAGCAGGAAAGCCCGGTTAAGCCCTCTTCTCGGGATGAGACAGGAGAAACCAGTGCCAAAGACAGAACCGAATACAGCGGCCACGGAAAGGCCCTTCCGAATGAATGTGGCAACCTTGCTGCATGTTTTGTGAGGTGCTCACTGAAGCACACCGTCCTTCTTTGGCATACTTGGAGGTTCATGGTACTTATGAACCGGTTACAACTGTACTTATAACCCATTTATATGCACCTCAAGTGCCCTAAAATGGTGAGAAGTACATTTTAAGTACAGTTATAAGTACAGTTTTAGTTGGTTAATAAGTACCATGAACCTTCAAGTAGGCACAAGGGCCATACTTCAGAGCAGTCGGCTTTTTGGGATGCTTTGACCCAAACCCCAAACCCTAAACCCTAAACCCTCAACCCTAAACCCTAAACCCTAAGCCCCAAACCCCAAACCCCAAACCCCAAACCCCAAACCCCAAACCCCAAACCCGAAACCTTCGAGACACTAAGGCCTGGTGGCAGAGCTAACTTTCGTCCGCATCAACGACCTCGCAGCCCCCCCGGAGCCGACGCACCCACTGCTGCCAGGGTCTCAGGGTCTAGGAAGCTTTGGGTTTTTAGGGGGTTCAGGGTTCGGGTTTAGGGTTTAGGGTTTGGGGTTTGGGGTTTGGGGTTTGGGGTTTGGGGTTTGGGGTTTGGGGTTTGGGGTTTGGGGTTTGGGGTTTAGGGTTTAGGGCCAGGGTTTAGGCTGTAGGCTTTAGGGTTTAGGGTTTAGGGAGCTTTGGGTTTCTAAGGGGTTTAGGTTTGGGGTTTGGGGTTTAGGTACATGGTCCTTCAATGTGGTGACTTACCTTGTCTTCAGCGGTGTCTGAAGTAAGGTCCCTTGGGTTTTGGAGGGTTCCCGGTTGCAGGGAACAGGTCCTCGTTCCAAGGGCCATGTGAGCGCGCCACTAAAGCACCCCAAATGCCTGAAACCAAACCGCTGTTCCACACCCGAGCTCTCGCGCACACACACACACACACCCTAACATGATGGGGTTCTTAAGGGAGGGGGGGTTCGTGGGGGGCAGGTACCTAGGGAACCTTCGGGAAGCTTAGGGAGCTTTAGGGAGTAGTGGGGGAGTACTCGGGAACCTTAGGTTACATAGCCTCCTTGAACCCTCCTCCCTTCAGAACTCTATATTGTGTGCAACCTCTTGGGAAGTTCCCCCTTATACCAACAACCCTTAACAGGAATTGTAGTATCCCCCAATTAGACTCCCCAGGTCTGGGGCTTGGGGTCTGCGCTGGCGGGGTTCGGGCTTGAGGGTTTGGTTTCAGGTTGATTCTTTTCTCACCGCTGCCAAGTGATGCCGTAAACCCTAAACTCTGAACCCTAAACCCTAAACACTCAACCCGGAACCCTAAACCCTAAACGGCAAACCCTAAACCCTAAACCCTAAACCCTAGGCCCTAGGCCCTACGCCCTAAACCCGAAACCCTGTCAGCTTCAGGGTTAAGATGGGCCTCAAGGCTGTAGGCGTTTCTGGCCACCTGAGGTTCGAGGTTTCAGGGTATCAGGGGTTTCGGGCTGATCCTAAACCCTAAATCCTAAACCCTAAACCCTAACCCTAAGCCCTAAACCCTAAGCCCTAAACCCCAAACCCCAAACCCTAAACCCTAAACCCTAAACCCTAAACCCTAAGCCCTAAGCCCTAAACCCTAAACCCTAAACCCTAAACCCTAAACCCTAAAGCCTAAACCCTAAACCCTAAACCCTAAACCCTAAACCCTAAACCTTAAACCCTAAACCCTAAACCCTAAACCCTAACCCTAAACCCTCCCTAAACCCTAAACCCTAAACCCTAAACCCTAAACCTCGGTCGTCTGTGCAAGGTACCTGGAGCCATTCGTGGGGCTCCTCATCGTCATTAACGGCATCATGCACCCCGGTGGCACCTCCCGCCTCCAACCTTCGGGTTTAGGGTTTAGGGTCTAGGGTTTAGGGTTAGGGCTTAGGGTTTAGGGTTTAGGTTTAGGGCTTAGGGTTTAGGGTTTGGGGTAATACCCTAAATCCTGCAACGCCGAATCCCCAACCCTTGAAGCCGTCGCCTCTTCAGTTTTAGGGTGTGGGGCTTTTGCTTGCCAGCAAAAAGGGGGGAGCCTTAAACCCTAAACCCTAAACCCTAAACCCTACGCCCTAAACCCTAAACCCTAAACCCCCTCCTTTAATCACCCGGGCTCCGACGCCCCTCAATCCCCTCAGCCCTTATACCCCTAAACCCCACGCCCTAAGCCCTAAACCCTAAACCCAAAACCCTAAACCCTAAACCCTAAACCCTAAACCCTAAAACCTAAACCCTAAACCCTAAACCCTAAACCCTAACAGGGTGACCTAGTTGCAGAGAAAGGATCGGCTTCCAGACCGACCCCCAGTTCGAGGATTGGGATGGTTGGACCAAAATCGTGCTTCGGCGATCTTGAGGCAACCCTAAACCCTAAACACTAAGCCCTAAACCCTAAACCCTAAACCCTACATCCTAAACCCTCAGCCCTTAACCCTAAACCCTAAACCCTGCCAGGACCCGGTCAACAAAAGCCCAGGCACTTGCTTGAAAGGAAGTCTGGCCCAAAAGCTATGGTGTTTCGGGTTGAGGGTTGAGGCTCTCGGGTTTCAAGTTTTCGGAACATTGGGCTTTGTGCCGTAGGGGTCTTGGGAATGATGTAGGGGCTTGCTGGATGAGCACGGGCAACATATGTACGGACATCTCCTTGAGAGCTGGCTGCAGGTCAGCAGTACCACGCCGTAGAGAAGTTCCTGAGGCCCTGAGACCCTAAGGCCTCAAGGGGCTCGCCCTAAGGCCCTAAGGCCCTACGAGGCCCTAAGGCCCTACGAGGCCCTAAGGCCCTACGAGGCCCTAAGGCCCTACGAGGCCCTAAGGCCCTAAGGCCCTAAGGACCTAAGGCCCTAAGGCCCCAAAGGCCCGAAGGCCCTCAGGCCCCAAGGCCCTAAGGCCCTAAGAACCTTAAGGCCCGAAGGTTCCAGGGGCCTAAGGCTCTGAAGGCCCGAAGGCGCCAAGGCCCCAGGTTTGAGGGCCTCAGAACCCTAAAACCCTGAGGCCCTGAAACCTAAACCCTAAACACTAAACCCTAAACCCGAAACCCTAAACCCTACATCCTAAACCCTAAACCCTAAAGCCCTGAGGCCCTGAAAGCTGAAGTACTGAGGACATGGCCTTCGCTGCCATCTTGATCCTCGAGATCGGACTTCGCAGCCCGGCGTTTCCGGGAAGGTCGGATGCCCTCTCCTTCAGGGCTTCGGGGATTTATAGGGTTTAGGGTTTAGGGTTTAGGATTTGAAGGGTTTAGGGCGTCGCCATCCGCAAGTTCCTGGCGAGATGAGGAGGTGTCTGGCCGAAGTGGCTCGTTTTGGGTTTGGGGACTAGGGCTGAGGGGGCTCATCCAGCCCGAAACTAGTCTGCACCTTAGCTTGTGCGGTTATCAATAGTTGGGTAACATTCTACTTTTTCAAGGGTACTTAAATTAAACCCAATAAGGAACACAAATTGAAATTTTAAATATTATCCCAACAATGAAGTCAACCGTTCTTCGGTTCACAGGGTAGCTACACGGGCCCTTAATCTCCCTTACCTCCCTAACAGGGTTCTGATGTATGGGCAATAGGGTTGTATGGGGGTATAGAAGGGCCCATGTCAAGGGACCATGTAACTACCATTCGATTGGTGGGAAAGAATCGCACAAGCCGACGAAGATCCCTATAATTGTGGCCCCTACAGAAGGCAGAAGCCCTCAAGGAGCTTTGGCTGTCTGCAGACTGGGACCCCTTGTATGGCTCTTCCCTGTAAAGATGTCGGATGCCGTTTGTGCGTTACAGCTGCTTCTGTGACACGACTTCGCGCTTAGCCGTAGAGTGCTGCCAGTTCTCTACACAAGGCCCCCCGTCATTTTTCAGGTCAGGCTCACAGTGCAACTAACCCTTTTTAAGAGGCCATCAGAGAGACATCTGACCGACTCACCTCTGCGAGGTAAGTGCTGAGACTGATTTATACATCGGCTGTTACATTAGGGTCATCCCCCCCCCCCCCCCCCCCCCCCCCCCCCCCCTTCGATTAATATTAGGGGCAGGGGACTGCCCACATTGGCGCACATGCCCATGATCAAGGTACTAAAGGAGGGACCCTGTGTTACTTGGGGGGTTATTTAGGGGCTACTTAGGAAATATAGGGACTATAGAAGGTATATACAGGGGTTGTATAGTGGAATATGAAAAAAGGGCCTTCTAGGGGTCCCTCCTTATACTTGAACGTTCATGGTTCTTCACCAATTACAACTGTACAGATAACCCACTCAGAAGCCCCGTAAGTGTCCCAATATGGTAAGCACAGTTGTAATTGGTTAGTAAGTACGCCTAAACGCTAAACCCTAAACCCTAAGCCCTAAACCCTAAACCCTAAACCCTAAATCCCAAACCCAAAACCCTAAACCCTCCACGTACACCCCTTAGCGTGAGGTATGCACCTCCTACGTTGCCGGGTCTACTGGACCGGTGAGGAGCGCTTCTGGAACTGGTTCGACGTGTTCCTAGCTCCTCTGCTGCGTTGGGCTTTGGTTTTGGGTTTAGGGTTTGGGGTTTAGGGTTTAGGGAGTTTAGGGTTTAGGGTTTGCGGTCAAGGGTTTAGGGTTTATGGTTTCGGGCTTAGAGGTCTCTGCTAGGCGGGGGGTTGGGGCTTTGTTTCCCTGAGACACTGCGCGATCCGGTCTTTGGATTTTGTGCATTGAAAGCGTCTGAGGATCTAGAAGCCGCTTGGCCAGGCGTTTCGGAACTGTCAATGGTTAATGCCACAGGCACAACCCTAAACCCTAAACGCTAAACCCTGAACCCTAAACCCCGAACCCTAAACCCTAAACCCGAAATCCTAAACCATAAACCCGAACCCTAACCCGCCCAAACCAGGAGCCACCTTGCATGAACTCCTGTCGCCAAGCTGTTATATCGTACTTTTATGACGGGAATACACTCAGGTATCTGCATTCTATACGACGACTTGACTGAAGCCGTATGGTTTTTGTTCACAGGACATGCGACATGCACTAATAAGCAATATAAGAAGCTTGGAACAAGACACAGTATGATTTCTGTAGATGGCATTTCGTTGCAGAAGCCCAACACGTCAGTTCGGTACCGTCCACAAGTTACCAAGAGGACCGAAAGCCAACTTATATCCACAGGGTATACCCTAAGCCCCAGACCCTAAACCCTAAACCCTAAACCCTAAACCCGAATCCCTAATCCCTAAACCCTAAACCCTAAACCCTAAACCCTAAACCCTAAACCCTAAACCCTAAACCCTGAACCCTGAACCCTGAACCCTGAACCCTGAACCCTGAACCCTGAACCCTAAACCCTAAACCCTAAACCCTAAACCCTAAACCCTAAACCCTAAGCCCTAAGCCCTAAGCCTCAAGCCCTAGCCCTAAGCCCTAAGCCCTAGACCCTAAACCTTACCTTGTAGCACAACCCCACTTTCCATTCTGCGGTCGTCCGTCAGTTCTTCACTGGGGTCGCGCAAAGCCGCAAGCAAATGATTCGCCCGACTTAGGGTTTAGGGTTTAGGGTTTAGGGTTTAGGGTTTAGGGTTTAGGGTTTAGGGTCTAGGGTTTAGGCTTAAGGCTTTAGGTTTTAGGGTTTTGGGCTTATGGTTCTGTACAGCTGACTGCCTTACAGGCTCGCTGTTGACCGACCCATGGTTCTTTGGCGCTGGGAGTCTCACTCTGGAAACATGTGTGCGCAAGATGCTAGGGGTGAGGGAAAGCCCAAAACCTGAGACCGTAAAGCCCTAAAGCCCTAAACCCCACGTGTCGTCCCCAAAGCCCTGCAGCCCTGAAGCCTTCACCCCAAACCCTAAACCCCAAACCCTGAACCCTAACCCCTAAACCCTAAACCCTCAACCCTCAACCCTAAACCCTCAACCCTAAACCCTCAACCCTAAAGCCTCAACCCTAAACCCTAAACCTGAAATCGCGCTGAGCCCTAGACCCTGAAGCTTTGAGGCCATCAGCGGCGTCACAGATGTCACATTGCAAATCGTCACTGAAGATACCTCCGACATCTTCGGCTCCTTCGCGCGTCTCAAGAGGGTTTAGGGTTTAGGGTTTAGGGTTTGGGGGTTTCGGGTTTTAGGGGTTTTCGGGTTTCAGGGTTTCGGGTTTAGGGCTTGGACAACCTGATGGCTTCGCCGACGGGGGTTGCTCTGTGTAGCATAAGAATAAGTTGTCTGGCACGAATGAGTACAGGATCTCGAAGTTCACAAACTTGGTTGGTTCTTGGTAGGGAATGAGGGAATGAGGTACCCTGTATAGTACCTTGAATACATAGATAGATAGATAGATAGATATATATATATATATATATGTATGTATATACTGCTAGTAGGCCCTAATTCCTTTCTTAGCCCCTGGAGACGACAAGAAAGGACCGCAACGTACCCCAGTGGGAACTCTCCATGAGTTAGGGTTTAGGGCTTACAGCTTGCGATTTAGGGTTTAGGGTTTAGGGGCTTAGGCTCAAGGTCTGGGGGAGGGACCCTTCTGAGGGACAAACACATAGGCACGAGCCGAAGTATCTATCACAGCATTGGCCGCTTCGTACAATGATGAAATCTACATGGAAAGTGTGTGAGTTCAAGAATTCCTAAACCCTATACCCTAAACATCCCTAAACTTTACGGGTTGTGGCCATATGGAGCGCATCGCTAGGGCTCTGGGCCCTCAGCGCTCGGACCCCCAAGTCCGCAAACACCCAAAACCCTGATCCCTGAACCATAGGATTTAGGGTTTAGGATTTAGGGTTTAGGGTGTAGGCTGTAGGGTGTAGGGTTTACGGTTTAGGGTTTAGGGTTTAGCGTTTAGCCAATTTTCATTATGGGCCTTTTGGTGTTGCCATTATCTAACATACCTTTAGTTCAAGGTGCCGGATCGACCCAGCCTTGAGTCCTGTAAGCCTTTCATCTGATAAGCCCCTAAACCCTAAACCCTAAACCCTAAACCCTAAACCCTAAACCCCAAATCCTAAACCCTAAACCCTCAACCCTAATTCGCAAAACCCGTAGGCACCGGAACCCCGAAGCCTGCGCCCTTCAGTCACAACCAAAACGCTTCAAGCTAAGGCCCGAAACGACTCAACCCTTTACCCCCCCCCCCCCCCCGAGCTTTATAACTAAACCTTAAACCTTTAAACCCTAAACCCTGAAACCCGAAAGCCGAAACCCTAAACCCTAAACCCTAAACCCGAAACCCGAAACCCGAAACCCTAAACCCTAAACCCTAAACCCTAAACCCTAAACCCTAAACCCCCCTACCAAGGAGCCTCTTTGCTCCGCTTTTGCCGATTGATTCGCCTTGCGAGGATCGTGAAGGTGCGAGCAACAGCCGGTCTTTTGGGCTTTGTCGGGCGTTTAAGGCTTGTTTTTCTGGGGTTTAGGGTTCAGGGTTTAGGGTTTAGGGTTTAGGGTTTAGGCAAGTTACATGGTCCCTGAATATGGCCCCTTAAGGGTTCTGAAGTATGGGGCCTTGGGCTTTACAGGGTACAGAAGAGGTTCCGCCAACTAAGGGCCCATGTAGTCGCTAGCCTAAGATTCTGGCCCCCTTCTGGGGTCTTACAGTGCCAGGTGGGGGTCTCCGAAATTTGGGGTGCTTATCTGACGGGAATCCTATTTTTATTTGGGGGCCTATATTGGGGGTCCCCTACTTTCGTAAACTTCCAGGTGTTCCGGCTGAAGTTCATGAAAGATCTCCGCCTGATGGTCAAGGGCTGGCGCCTCTTCCGAATTCACTCCGGGTTTACAGGGGGCCAGGCAAGGGCTTAGAGCCCTAAACCCTAAACCCTAAACCCTGAACCCTAAACCCTAAACCCTAACCCCTAACCCCTAACCCCTGAAGGGAACCCCTCACCCTCTTCTGATTCCGGCTGCCTGTAAAGCCTCGCCCGGCTTGCCTTGAAGAAGATCATGCCATGAACATTTGCTTCAGGACCCATAGGAATCCCATTCCAAATGCGTCACATACGATTTGGCCCCCCCCCCCCCCCCCCCCCCCCCCCCCCCCCCCCCCGGAACATTGCAAGAGGAAAGAAGTTGGGGTAACCTAGCCTCAACCTTGATCCCTAAGCCGTCATCCCTAAACCCCAAACCCTAAACCCCAAACCCTAAACCCTAAACCCCAAACCCTAATCCCCACCCCAAGAAACCCAGGATTGCAGGGATCCGCACGCTGGCGCTGGCCTTTACGCTGCTCCCGGGCCCAGGTTTAGGGTTTAGGGTTTATATAGGGTTTAGGGTTTCGGGTTTCGGGTTTAGGGTTTAGGGTTGGCGGCTTTCGGGGCTTCAGGTATGTTTTCACCTTTTCGGGGTCCAGATCTTCGGGTCTCGGGTGGGCACACAGGAGCATGGCCAAAGTCCTGATGCTTCGAGGCCACCCAAACACTACTCACAGAGAAACAAACCAGAGCCACCCGAACCAAAGCCAGCCCACATTCAAACACTTCTGCACTCAATGCTGTATGACTAATATCCAGTATGCTTCGTTATGTCATGGAGCTTGCCTGTGAAGACTTGCTGCGAGGTAACATTAGAATAAGAAGCATCCGGGAGAAAAATTAGGTTTTGCGATGGGGGACGTCTTCTTTGGGGTTCGGGCTTTGTATTTAGGTTTCATGTTGCTCACAATCATGTTGGCAGGTCCGAATTGTCAGGATTTTGGGTTCAATATTCAGGGCGTGGGCTCCATGGGCTAACACGGAATCATCGGTGAACTTCCGTCAGCGTTCGCAAGGTCATCCGTGGTTTGTGCTCTCAACCTTAAACCTTGAATCCAACCCCTACATCACGCAAAGTCTTAGCGAAGAACAGCGAAGGCTCTTTGTGGTGCTCTACGTGATCTCAGGCTTTGCGACGATGACCATAGGCCCAAATCAGCATCCATGCGGGTTTTGGTTTAGCCTAAACCCTAAACCCTTTACACCCGAAGCCTGACTCCAAGAGTCAGCCAGTGAAGCCCTAAACCCCACCCCAAAACCCCAATACCCCCTAACCGCGAAAACGCCCCAAAACTCCTGAACCCTAAGTGGGGGTTTCCGAAAGTAGGGGGCACCTTATTGGAGTCATAAGAAGGGGATCCTACTATTTGGGGTCTATTGTCGGGGTCCTTTTATTTTCGTAAATCCCTAAATCGTCCTAAAACCCTAAAGCCTAAACCCTAAACCCTAAACCCTAAACCCAAATCCCTAAATCCCTAAACCCTAAACCCTAAATCCTAAATCCCGAAACCCTAAACCCCTTCACATCCTCCCGAAAGGCTGCTCAACGCCCTAAGCAGTCGAGCCCCGCATCCGGCAGTTCGACTCCCGGCACCTCGAGCAACCCTCAGCCCTAAGCCCTAAGCCCTCAGCCCAAAACCCAAAGCCCTGAACAAAAAACCCTAAGCCCTAATCTCTAAGCCCTAACCCCGAAACCCTAAACCCTAAACCGCCCAAATCTCCCGCTGAACCCTCAAGGCAGTCCACCCAGGGTCTTTCAGGTTTAGGGCTTAGGGAGGAAGTTTAGGGGGTTAGGGGGTGCAGGGTTTAGGGTTTAGGGTTTAGGGTTTAGGGTTTAGGGTTTAGGGCTGAGCCCCCGAACCCCCAGTCGACTCACCAGACTGATGAGAACTGCCAGGCAGTAGCCAGCTGACCTCGGAGGTCGGGTTGCAGGCCCTTTTTTCATGCAGGAGTTTCTTGACTTGTAGGGGGTAGGGCTAGGGTTTAGGGTTTAGGGTTTGGGGTTTAGGGTTTAGGGTTTAGGGTTTGGGGTTTTAGGGTTTAGGGTTTAGGGTTTAGGGTTAGGGTTTAGGGTTGAGGGTTTAGATCCCGAAACTCAAACCCTAAACCTGAAGCCCTAAACAGAAGCTGGCAATGCCGTGACAGGAGCTGAGCACCCGCAAGGTTGTGCACGAAGAGATGTCAGATAGCTTGGTGTCCCGTATGACTTCCTTAACGGTGCAGTTGCCCTTCGGGTTTAGGGTTTAGGGTTTGTGAAGGAGGGGTTCCTCATTAGGGACATTCAGTTTGGGCACATAAGGGGTACCTAAACCCGAACCCTGAACCCTGAGCCCTAAACCCTAAACCCTAAACCCTAAACCCTAAACCCTAAACCCTGAACCCTGAACCCTGAACCCTGAACCCTAAACCCTAAACCCTAAACCCGAAACCCCAAACGCGAGCCCAATCGCTGCGTAGGTCTACTTCGACACCATCCCTGCCGCCATGTTCACAGCGTTTCGCTGCTTCACGGGCGAGTGTGTCAACGACACAGGAGTACAGGGTTTAGGGTTTAGGTTTCGTTTCGGGGCTTAGGTTAGGCCACGTCAGCAATGCGGGTTGTGAATCAGCCTCCAGTAAGCCAAACCTCAAGTGCGAAAACCCTAAAGCCGAATCTCCGAAGCCCCGATCACGGCAAGGTGTGTTATTGTTGTAGAGGTTTAGGGTTTAGGGTTTAGGGTTTAGATTTCTTTGTACGTATTGGTGAATGTGCCTAAACCACCTTCCTGCGAGGGCACTCGATCACCTCAATTCTTGGCGCAGAGTTTGGCGCGCCTCGGGCCATGCGAATTTGAGGGTGCAGAGTTTAGGGTTTAGGGTTTAGGGTGTAGGGTGTACGGTTTAGAGTGAGTGTCGGTGGACGCTTGCGGGAAGTGCGCAATTTTTTGGATAAAGGGGCTTGCTCCGCTAGGATCTCGGCTTCTGCCCTTCCGAAACCAGCCTAGAACGGGGGTGCTTTCTTGTTGTCGCCCCCACTCGCCTTACCCAGCCCCATACGGGGTGCGCGTAGACTTCTCCCTGATATGTGGGCACAAGGTGTTAACCTAAACCCTATAAACCCTAAACCCGAAACCCTAAACCCTAAACCCTAAACCCTAAACCCTAAACCCTAAAACCCTAAAACCCTAAGCCCTAAACCTTCCCGGCTTCCGGGACGGCGGCGCCTTGCACACTCAGCCTTCTGGGTGCCTCACACCGCGTCCCAAGGCTAAACCCTAAACCCTAAACCCTGAGCTTGAACCCTGAACCCTGAACCCTGAACCCTGAACCCTGAACCCTGAACCCTGAACCCTAAACCCTAAACCCTCAACCCTCAACCCTAAACCCTAAACCCTAAACCCTAAACCCTAAACCCTAAACCCTAAACCCTAAACCCTAAACCCTAAACCCTAAACCCTAAACCCTAAACCGCATCCCAAGGTGATCTTCATCCTCCCCTTCGTTGCCAGCTACATGCTGGCGACCTGGGCCGAGAAATTGGGGGTCTACGAACATGGGGGGGGGGGACCCCTAAGAGAAGACCCTAAATGGTAGGATCCCCTTATAAGGGACACCCTAAACCCTAAACCCTAAACCCTAAACCCTAAACCCTAAACCCTAAACCCTAAACCCTAAACCCTAAACCCTAAACCCTAAACCCTAAACCCTAACCTAAACCCTAAACCCTAAACCCTAAACCCTAAACCCTAAACCCTAAACCCTAAACCCTAAACCCTAAACCCTAAACCCTAAACCCTAAACCCTAAACCCTAAACCCTAAACCCTAAACCCTAAACCCTAAACAAACCCTAAACCCTAAACCCTAAACCCTAAACCCTGAACCCTAAACCCTAAACCTCCGAGTGGTTATTGGGCTACTACGCCTTCATACGTGTGGTGATGCAAGGTGACCATGGGCATCTTCAATGTCATTTTGGCCGTCTACGCCACCCATGCTGCACCTCCAGACCCCTCCATAGCCTGAAGCTCCCCCCCCTCCCCCCGGTTTAGGGTTTGCGGTTTAGGGTTTAGGGTTTAGGGTTTCCGCCCCTCAAAAAGTGGTTTACACTCAATTGGGAAAGACGTCCCTTTCTGATATGAAGCAGCCGTACACTGCGGGGAAGCTTTTGATTAAGGTGTCCCCTTGTGCGTTTAGATGGGGATTCAGAGGTTCGCTGTATCTGACGCGTTGATTTGTAGTGCAAGCTTAGTACTGGAATGCACCTTTCTGTGGGCCGGCTAGATTCTCATCGATTTGTAGTCCAAGAGAAGTACTGTGCAGGAATCGATTTTTCCATGCGCCGGCTGGGTGTTTATTGAGTTGTAGTAAAAGCTTAGTACTGGAATCGGTGTTTCTGTGAGATGGCTGGTTTTATTGATTTGTAGTACAAGTTAGTACTGGAATGGACGTTTCAGTGAGGGGCTTGTTTTCATGGTGTTGTAGTATAGGCCTTTGTCTAACGTAATTGTTCGTCATGCGCATGCCCTTCTGCCCGCGGCGTTTGCTTGGGGGAGTGACGCTGCAGGGTCGCCTTCGACAACTTACTGGTCCTACGGCGTTCATTCGGGTTTAGCACTCTTTGAACAAGTAGGGCCGCCTTTTCCGGCCGGGTGTGGGGTTTAGGGTTTGGGGTTTGGGGGTCAGAGCCGAAGTCAGGTGGACATTACCATGAAGGCTGCCAAGGACGCGGGGGGCTCTCTCATCTCCTAAGCTCTAAACGCTAAACCCTATCAGCCCTAAAAGCGAAGAGCGGCAAAGGGGATACCCGACAACCCGCAACCCGCACCCTGCAGCTTTCACCAACAAGCTCCAAAGGCTTCTGCACTGTGAGCCAGGCGGCTTCCCTGACCCCCCCCAGACCCCCTGTAAACCCTAAACCCAAAAACTGCTCCGGGTAGGAGAACGAAGCTGTGACAGCGGAACAGTGCCTCGGCCTGGCTCTCACAGATACCTTTGTTTTGGACATGCGAAGGGGGCCTGGGTGGGGGTTCGAGTTGAGGATTCAGGGTTTAGGGCTCAGGGTTTAGGGCTTAGGAAAGTGAAAGGATTGCCAAAATCTTAAGTAGGGCTTCAGAGCATCACGAATAAGGTAACCAGCTAGCCCCCCACCCCGGGCCCCTACCCACCCGCGAGGCTTGAGGGCAGCCAGGGTTTGTTCCTGTGAGCGGTCTTTCCGACGCAGGTATGCCCGCGAGTCCATTCGGATCGCGCGCATGACGCGTGAGCTGCTGAAGAAGTTCCTTGGGTGCTAATTATGGATGGCGTGCCGAGGGTTCAGGGCTTATGGAGGCTCAGGCCATCAGTCCGGAGGTTGGCGACCGCCGAGGTAGGATTTTCAGTGTGCTGGTAGCCGTTGCCGCAATATGGCTACAGGGCTACCAAGTGGTGAACTGGAAGTGTACGCCTGTTTGGGGGCTTGTGAACCCCCCTAAAACCGAAACCCTACACCCTAAACCCTAAACCCTCAACCCTCAACCCTAAACCCTAGACCCTGAACCCTGAACCCTAAACCCTAAACCCTATACCCTAAACCCTAAACCCTGAACAACCAAGACCAGGTTTGCTGCGGCCCACAGGGACTTCTTGCAGATGGACCAGCTGCTCGGCCGCGGTGTGGGGTTTAGGGTTTAGGGTTTGGGGTTTAGGGTTTAGGGTTTAGGGTTTAGGGTTCAGCATCTCAAGTCCAGGCATTCACTAGTCAAGCACTTCATCGAGCATTGGAAAAATACCCACCCGCCCAAAGAATCCCATAACATTAAGAACATATTTCACTTACATTTATAAATGACCTTGCCCAGTGAAACGGCGACCTTGCCCAGTAAAACAGCGACCTGGCCCAGTAAAACGGCGACCTTCGGGCACACCCCCCTGCCCGGTAAAAATGCTACCTTCGGCCCCGAATCGCCGTTTTACTGGGCATGGTCGCCGTGTTACTGGGCAAGGTCGCAAAACTGCTACCTTCGGCCCCGAAGGTCGCCGTTTTACTGGGCAAGGTCGCCGTGTTACTGGGCAAGGTGGTTTTAGGGTTCAGGGCCTACTCTGGGCTGGCTTTAGGGTTCAGGCCCCACTCTGGGCTGGCTCTTTAGGGTTCAGGGCCTAGTCTGGTCTGGTTCAAGGCCTACTCTGGGCTGGCTTTAGGGTTCAGGCCCTACTCTGGGCTGACTTTAGGGTTCAGGCCCCGCTCTGGGCTGAACCTCACTCTGGGCTGGCTTTAGGGTTCAGGGCCTAGTCTGGTCTGGGCTGGCTTTAGGGTTCAGGGCCTACTCTGGGCTGGCTTTAGGGTTTAGGGTCTAGGCTTTGCTGGTCTGGGTTTAGGGTTCAGAGGGGTTCGAGGCCTGCTCTTTTCTGGGGAAATTCAAAGAAATTCAAAGAAATTCAAAACATAAAAAAAATTTCAAAAGAAACTAAAAAAAACTAAAAAACTCTAAAAAAACTAAAAAAACAAAAAAACTAAAAAAAAACTAAAAAAAACTAAAAAAAACTAAAAAAAACTAAAAAAAACTAATCTTTGTCAAAGATTCTTCGCTAAATGAATCCATTCTTGGGTTCATTTGGCGAAGAAATTTTGGCAAAGAATCTAATCACATCAGGTCTTCAAATATTTTTCAAGAAATAAGGAAAATCAATAAATCATAATTCCATTTCAGGTTTATAAATATATTTAGAAATACAGGAAAACCAATAAAATATTTTCACATTTGGGATTTTCAATTATATTTAGAAATAAGGGGAAACCCAAAAACTCATAATCATAATTGAAATCTTGAATTATATTGAAGATAATGAAATGTCAATAATTCATGATCGAAGTTGAGATTTTTAATATATTTAGAAATAAATGAAAAAAACAATTCGAGAGAAATAAAGGAATAGATATAGACAGAGATAGAGAGATAAAGAGAGATACAGATAGATATATATATATATATAGATATCGATAGATATAGATAGATATAGATATAGATATAGATATAAAAAGATATCGATAGATATAAATAGAAATAGATATAGATATATATATATAGATATATCGACATATAGACACATAGATTATATAAAATATATATCTATAGATCATACAAGATATAGCTATATAGATATAGAGAGATATAATATATGATATAAAGATATATAAGATATATAATCATATAATATCTAGATCTATAAGATAACTATAGATATATAGATATATAGATATATAGATATATAGATATATAGATATATAGATATATAGACATATAGATATATAGATATATAGATATATAGATATATAGATATATAGATATATAGATATATAGACATATAGATACATAGATATATAGATATATAGATATATAGATATATAGATATATAGATATATAGATATATAGATATATAGGTATATAGGTATATAGATATATAGATATATAGATATATAGATATATAGATATATAGATATATAGATATATAGATATATAGATATATAGATATATAGAT